GTGGCTCATGCCTGTAATCCCAGCACTTTGGGAGGCCAAGGCAAGGGGATGGCTTGAACTCTGGAGTTTGGGACCAGCCTGGGCAACACGGTGAAACCCCATCTCTACCAAAAATACAAAAAAAAAAAAAAAAAAAAAATTAGTCGGGTGTGGTGGTGCACACCTGTAGTCCCAGCTACTCGGGAGGCTGAGGTGGGAGGATCACTTGAGTCTGGGAGGCAAGAGGTTAGCATCACTGCACTCCAACCTGGGTGATAGAGTCAGACACCATCTCAAAAAAAAAAAAAAAAAAAAAGAAAGAAATCACCCAGACTATCTGCTCCCCCAGAGGGGCCTGGGATAGACTCATCGGCCTTTCTCACAGGGACCCTGCCCATCCACCCCACCTGGGGAGGGGCTCGCCCCACCTGAGATGTCCATGAAGTCATCCAGGCTTGGCTGCAGTGGCGTCAGGTCCGGCTGGATCATGTCAGCATTGCCGACGTAGGCTAGAGGCAGCAGTGGTGACATCAGCAGTAGCAGGCAGGGAGGAGTGGGGGTCTCCAACCTCATCCCCAGCCATCCCTCCCTTGGCCTCCTGGAATCTCACAGGCCTTCACCCCTCTCCCCTGCCCCTTCTCAGACCCTCACCATCCTCAGGCGGCAGCTGCAGGGGCGAAGGGCCAGACTGAGTCATGGTGAAGAGAGTGTCCGAGATGTCGGACAAAAAGCAATTGAGGTCCAGGAGCTGCCGCCCACCCGGCTCCTCCTCTGGGTCCCCCAGCAGCACGGGGACCACACTGGAGAAGAGCTGTTTGCACCATTGCTCCGGCGGCGGCCACCCGCCTTCCGCCTAGGGAGACAGAGCCGTCAGCAGCCGCTGAAGAGCTCCCACTGTCCCGAACTTCCATATCACCCCTCTCCAGGGTCAGGTGGTCAGCAGGACAGAGGGTCTGTCTGTGCACACCTCTGTCACCTTTCCCTAGTGGTCCTGGCTAGCTGCTTGAAAGGCCAGGATCACTCCATTGGCCTCTAAGAACTTCCCCCAGGAGACAGACCAGGATGCAGATACAGGAGTCCCCCTCCTGCCCTTTAGATTTTTTCCTGTCTGGGACCCCAGTTCTTTGGTCCCTCTGTTTTGTTTTTGTTTGTTTTCTTTTTCTTTTTCTTTTTTTTTTTTTTTTTTTT